GAACTCTGCAGAAACCATCCCTCTGCAAATTCAAAACTATTCAAAACTTAAAACAAACAAAAAAAATCAAACTATTTCCAGGTCAAGAAATAACAGATGTATACAAATTTTCAAAGTTCAAATTTTTTCTCTCTTCCTGATTCACAGACATATTGTCACCAAAGTATACATACAATTTTCAAGGATATGTTTCTCTGAGATGAAGGCAAGTCCTCTGTTCCACCTGGTATAAATTGCCTCTGAGTTTAAGTTGTGGTGGTTAAAGTGATCAAACATAACAGAACACAGACAAGAATGTTTTTTTTCTGAAACACTAGATCCTGAATTCAGAATGTCACCCAACAGGCAACACCAATTCACAGGATTTCTCAGTTCTCTCCTTTCTACTTACTCTTCAGGTCTGGATTTTTTCTTCCACTTTGTATGGGCATGAGTAGCCATAGATCTGTGAAGCCAAGTAATTCAGGGAATAAATGGAAGACCTGGATAATGTCTGGACTACACTCGTGTCCTTCATAGTTGCTGATTTTAAGGGAACAACTGTGATGGCAAAAAGAGGGGCAGGCAGGGCAGGTTCCAGTGTAATATGGATCCAGGTCCAGAGGAGTCACTTTACAGCCCCTTTTGTATCATTATATTTAATTTTTTAAACACACAAAGATTATGTTAAGTACTAGGGAAAAAAAGAATAAAAAGGAGATGGCACTATTTACTGAAAGACTTGATTTTCTTTTGTGTGTATGTACACGTCCAAGATCTTTTCTACCAGAGGAGAGTCATGCAACACACACGTCTCTTCATTGCTCATTTTCTTCCTTTCCTCTCTGGTTCTTTGTCCTTCTGGGTTTGCTTTCCTCGCTAAAGTGTGAATAGCCCTGTTGTGCAGCTCTGGGGACTCCGAGAAATGAGAATGAATTTCAGAGTTTTAGACATTTTTACAGAAATACAGTCACAGTTCCACTGTCAAGGCTAAACTGAACCCAGAGCAGTTATCCAAGCTCTTCATTAAACATATAAAGTTGGTCCTTATCCTCCTTATAATGCCTGTTACGGGGTAGGAAAAAAGGTGCATAGATTTCTGATGATGGGGTGGTTAACAGCTGGAGTAAATGACTGAAAGAAACCATTCTCCACCTCGTCCTTCTCCCTCCTTGTCCAAAATGAGTTTAGAGAAACAGCTTATTGGTCTTCTTATTATTTACATTCTAATTTATTATTAACATTCACTAAACTTGCAGAGAAAGTTGCACACTGGAAGGAAATAGCTTTCATATCTAATTGCCAAGATTAATTTACAGTTATCAGGATATTAGGAATTCAGGTTTGCACTACAATCCTTCTTCCCATTAATTGCTACACTTGTACTATTTTATTTCTCTGAGAATCTCAGTTAGAATGACGCATTTGGGTTCAAAACTCACACAGTTTACAGTTTTAAATTTCAAGAATAATAATCACATCTTTCAGATAGCACATTCACACCTTCTTTTGGAAGGGCACTCCTCAAGTGAGAATCACAGAATACTGTCTCCTCAAAAAGCCTCATAGTGCAGGGAAATTACACAACAGAAGTGAAAAAAAAAACCCACTGAAGATGGAAGCAAAGTTAAGGCTACATGGCAGTGATATACAGTAAAATATATGACAGACGTAATGCAATTATTCAAACCCCAAGAATTATAAACCCTGAAAATTCTAGGGTAAAATTAAATTTAATAAGAAATCCAATTAAAGAACAAAGAAATTAAGAGTCAAATATCTAAACAATCTTAATTATGCTTGCAGAAAATATCTTCTAAATATCTAAATAGCTAGAAGTCACAACATTTGTTTGCCTAATATGTGGTGTTTGTATATAGATATTAATACACACATGTTTTTGAAGATGAATCATACCTTTCTACTTCATGGTGTGTGACTGAAAGTTCATGAGAAACCTATCTCTGTTCTGCTGGGAAGAGCAAAGAATAGAGCAGGCCTTTAAAAACCTCTTAATCATATCTGAGTCCACAAATGTAGAATTATCTCAATATGAACAGCATGTTTTTGCCTGGTTACAGTCACCACAGTAACACCCATGTAGCTGTTAAATAGCTCATCTCCTGGAAAAAAAGAACAGTGTAAAGCATAAATTAGAAAGCAATATACATACCAGATATCCGCAGTGCATCACAGGAACCTCAGCGGCACCTCACGGAATCTGACAACAGGTCAGTGCAACAAGCACACTGGAGGCTACGGCTTTCGGCTGCAGGCTGGTACCTCTGCAAGTCCAGAGGGGGAACAGCAGAAGGACAGTTGGAGATTTAAGGCCTCCGTGACAGGTGCGGCTGCATGGGGGTGCAAGGACTGGAGATTCCTGAGCCATGACTAGGGCCATGCCTCTCTGTCCCTCAGAGAACAAGAAGACACGTGCAGCTGGGCTGACGGAGCACACGCACGGTGTGTGAGGAGCCAGCCAGACCTGGCTCCCTAGCAGAACTCTCCTAATCCCTGATGCCTCATCAAACCTTGTCTATCCAAGAAGCAATGTTGAAAACGTTAAGCAGATCCTGATGACACATTAGGACAACAGCACAGAAATGTCAACACAAGTTACAAACTCCGCAGAGGCCACTCAATAAAAATGGTTGGTCTGCCAACAGGAAAAAAGAAAGAGTATTTACAGGCAGTACCAGGAACACCAGGTTTTGTAGCCTGGAACAAGACCTGCATCGAGAAAACTTAAACCCCAACCCCTGCTGTGCCATTAACAACCGTGCTTTCTCTGAATGACTGTATTTGCTACGTGTACATGACTGAGATGTAATACTGTTAATTACAGAGATGTTGGTTATAGCTCCCACAGGCAAAACTGATGTTATATATTACACTCTGTGTGCAAATTAGACTAAAAAAGCAAAGTATATTATGCCCAAACTTAAAGCAGTACTTCTCTGAGTAAAATATTCACATGATAAGAGATTATCTGACATCTGCTAACTATTTTCTGGTACAAGAGTCAGACTGCTTAATCTTAACTTGGATCAGTGGCCTATCCCATTTTGCATTAATCTCCAAAAGGTGCACAGAGGGAGAAGCCTTGCTCTGATGGGAATAAAAAGAAGCTGAGCCTCTCTCCCTCTCATGCAATATTGTTCACATTGGCCTGATTTACTCAGCAAAAAAAAAATGCAGTGAGCCTGTTTTCCTGGAAAGAGCTGCATTTCCAGAAGTTTTTGCTTTAATGCCAACTCCTTCTAGTTGAACCACAGGCTGAGTGTTCTCAACTTCTGCTGCCATGATATTCCTGCCTGACTCATGAAAAACTGAGATTCCCTTAAAAAGGGAATCTGCAGGCTCTTCATGGTCTTGAGAGGAAAAAACCCAATACAGACCTTTAACCACTGTCAGTTCTGGCCCACCACAGCATGTCTGAGACCAGCATTTGCAAAAAGCTCCCAAACCAATACTGCACATCGCTTCTGCAGTGCTACTTGTTTCCCCAACCTGTTCCCCCCTCGGAAGGAACATATTGAAGCCTATAATAGTCATTCTCACTCCTGGCTCTACAGTCAACTTGCCTGTTAACTTTTTGTTCAACAATCTCTTCATCAGGCTTACCCAGACAGGAATTATTTGTTTCCTTTGCCATTGTTAATGGATAACTCTGTCATGGTAGTTAAAAAGGCATACATGGTATGAGTCAGCAAGTGAAGGTAACACACATGGAGGACCTGCAAATTCTTCCTTGTTCCTTTCTGCCTGTCTTCTCAAGAGCCTGGTTTTGGTTAGCCAAATATCGGGTGATGCTTCAGAGAAACAGGTGGGCTGAGGCCCAAGCTGTCCCAGGAAAACAAGGGTTCATTGCTCCACTGGCTGCTAGGCAGGAAGGCTCAGAGTTGGCAGCAATTAGGGCAGCAAAACAGACTCTGAGAAGGAGAAAGGACCTGAGAGGAGAAATTGAGTGTCATTGAGCCCATAGTGCCTCACTGACCATTTCAACTATACATTTTAAAGGAGAATGTAACTTATTGTTATACCTCTGAAACACAACATATTTTATAAGTCAGACCCACTCCTGGAGCCAGCATTGTGACAGTGTCCAAACAATGATTTCTAATCAAGCAGAGGACGAGGATGCATGTAGGGAGCAGGTTTAACAGAGGTGCTGTAATGATGTCGGAATTATAAACTTAAATGCAGTTTAGATCTGCATACTAATGAAGAGATGCCCGTATAGGCTTCTGCACAACTCAGTTTCAAAGAAATTAAAAACTGTCAGTTTATTGCAGTGCAGAGTTTCATTATTCAATTACACAAAGTATTAAATATCTCCTCATAATTAAAACATTTTTGTCATTTATCTCATATAGATTTTTTTCCCCCAAGTTTAGCCCTCTCTTTGCTTTATGGTAGTTCTCCTGGGAGTAATTACTCAATTTCCAAAGCAGTAATTTGGGTAGCATAAGAGCATGTAACCTCAGTCTTGCTCCCTCCATCATAATGAAGACTTTGCCTAGAAACATACTTTTTCCCCTTCACATTATTTAAAATATGACACATGATCAATAACACAAAACTGCAGAAAACTTTCTCATATGATAATTCTATTGATTTTTAAAAGAAATAATTAAACTAACTGTTAAGACCAAGTTCATCAATACAATCTGACTCCTTTGTTCCTCCCTCCTGAGTAGGACAAATCAATCAGGGTTATGAAACAGCATAACCAGTTTTCTGGAGTTACTGCACCATTCTGACAACATACTGAATAGCCATTTTATGCCCTGTTTTTCTCTCCTTGCTCTCCCATCCCCCTGCACACATACCTGCAGCTCCAAATCGCAGCCTTCTCCTGATTCTTCTCTCATTGCATTGTACATTCCCCAAAACCTCCATTCTCCTCTCTGTCCTCCCTCGGTTTGCTACTTCCTACACCATCAGGTTCCTTTGCAAAATAATGAATGCACTTTTAGGAAAAACACACTTTATTTTTCTAAAAGAGATAGAGTGCCAAATTGTGTTAAATGCCAAATTTATTTCCACTCTTAGGACAGAAGCATATCTGCGAATTGGTACCTCTGCTCAGATTGTATTTTAACAACAGGACTTCACCAGTTCTCTGCAGGGCAAAGCAGTCCCCTGGTAAGTGGTGAAACAGGAAAGCCAGAAGTCTCTCAGGCTTCCTCTGGAAGCAAAGCAGCTTCTCCATAGGGATGGCTGGCTCTCATTTTCTCTCATACTCTGATGCCCTTAAGACTTGTGCCGTAGTTGAAACAAAATCTGTCCCCAAGTGAACTTGTGCAGACCTCAATTTCTCTTTCGCTCCCAGTGATCCCACCAACACCCTCTTCAGGCAGCTGTCGACTTGTGCCGCCACTGAGAGCTGCTCCTGCACCCAAGTGGTTGGACTGAGGAATCTCTTCTGTGGCAGAGGCAGACAGTAAGTCTGGCAGAATGGAATCAGCAACAGGGGAGATACACCACAGGTATGTGCCTTGTCTGCAGCTAGAGAAGGGGTTCTTTAGAGTTTCTTGATGAAGGTCATCTAAAATGTTGAAGGCTTTGTTGTTTTCAAGGGACACTGCAGCATGTGTGTAAGTCCCAGATTATTCATCTCTGCAACAAGTAAGAAAAGGCCTTCAAAAACTTAGGCTCATAGGATGTAGATTTATTACCTTGTGCAAAATGCACTCTTTACGTGGAACAATAGATTCAGAACAGCAGAGGTTTATGCTGAAGAAACAGCTGAACACAGTGGAAGAATTACAGACCATGATACCAAAGGAAGAATTACAGAATATGCATGGCCTAAATCAGTCACAGCACAGTGAGGCACAGCAGCCATAGCAGATCCATTACTCCCCGCTCAGCAGAGCCACAAACGCTTCTTTACTGACAGAAACATTCATCTACAGCATTCATCTACTGGTGTTCACAAGTTGCAGGGTTTTCCTGAGAGGAGTAGGAATCTGTGTGTGCCTACATTTGGCAATGTTATTTCAAGTCCAAGACAAGATACAGGTAATTTATAAATCTCCCTGAAAAATAATGCTTTTTCTGGAGGTGCTTATATCTATTCAACAGCCATGCAACTTGATGGTCTGAGAAATGACTCTCTACAAATTTATTTTAAAAATAACCTTTTCAAATATGTACTTAAAAGGCTTATTTACAGTAAGTACAATTATTAACTCTGTTAGGTATATGGGCAGATGTGCAGACCAGCACACACATGTAGCTCTCAGATTAATTTATTTTAAGCTGTTTACATAGTTCCAAAATCCCCACTATTTGGCCCAGTTGATATGGCTCTAACAGGTGTAATTGGAACAACAAATATGTTACAGATCAGAAAGTATTCATCAAAAGTATTCATCAGGTCTGTGTCCACACTTAGCAAGCCTTCCTTCTAACAATTTACACTGTACCTATCACTGCAACACCTGAATATTTAGCAAATGCTACCATCAGAGATTAGCAGATCCTCTTAACTAGGTGAAACTTGATACACTAAACCCCGTAAAAGCATTTCTTTTTGTCATGTTTAGAAAATACAATTATGGCATGTCTTGGCTGCCTTTCAGGTGCCAAAATTCAAACCCGTGTGGGCATCCAGCTCCCATCAAATTGCAATGAGAGATGCAAGACACTGTCCATTTGGCCTTCACCAAGTGAAATGAAACACAGGAAAGAACGAAAAAAACCAACAACAAACCCCAAAACAGCACACAGATTTCACTAGAGATCACACAGCATCAGAGCCAGAGATCAAACTCCAGAACCCTGACCACCTTCCCCACATGCTTCTGGCTACATTCACTATGGGGAATTAGGGCAAACTGGGGAAGAGGTAGCAACGTTGATAAGAAAGTAAAATGGATTAGGAAGCAGTGACACTCTAGGGGGTCAAAAACAGACAATCTAGGAAAAGAAGAGAAAAAGGAAATTTAGAATAACAGATGAAAAGCACTGAAAGCTACCATCAGAAAGGAAGTAAGATGATGCAGCAGCAAGCATAAATAACAGGAGATGCACTGATGAGAAGCATTTTTCAGACATGTTAAATAGTTGATTGTCAAAATATTTTCAGTAAATACACAGATGCCGTGTTTGCCTCTAGTAGATGTATTTACTAGAGGCAAACAATAGCCTGGGTGGTAATACTGGGTGATGATATTGAGGGTAGACAACTCTCCTCTTTACTCCTTATCTAGCCCAGCCCCTAATCATATTAGCAGCTGCCTCAAAAGTATTATCACAGAGCACTTGGCAAAACCCAAAAGGCAATTGTGATCATGCCCTCAGAGTTCTGAAAAGGAGAATTACTTTAAATTCCATTAAATTCCACATAAAAGCTGTGTAAAGACTTGACACCATAGGACATACTCTTCAAAAACACACTGCTGAAGCTGCTGGCACTTTCAGCATACAGTAAGCATAAACCAGAAAGGTGCTGTGACTGTCCCAGAACTGGACACCTCACATCTAGGTGACAGCCAGCAGCTCACCAGTGGAGTCCAGCACAGCCAACACAGCCCTGCTTCCTAGGGTAGACAGGGACTCAGAATAGAAGAAAGGAATGGACCTTTGGGACAGAAAGAAGGGAATGTGGAAGACAGTAAGAACGGGTATGTCCAAATGCCTGAGCATTCAGCCTTTCTGAAATTATCAAACACTCCAATAAGCTGAAAGACCAGACAAGGTGTTTTTCCCTACTGCAGGCCTCTTTTGCATATGCCCGAACAAGGCCCAAACACATTCTTATCCTTAAAATACCAAAAGCATTCTCCACAGGCTTCAGAGAAAACCACCTCTCCACCAAACCCATCTTCCTGATTACCAAACCCCCTCCTTACACGGCTCTATAAAAATCAAATCTGTCTGACACTTTATTATCCCAAAACAGCATTTATCAAAGCTTTATTTTTAGAATCTGACTGTTGTGAACTACTGCTGAATGGGAAAAAACGGGGCCCTGGTCTCAGCAATTGTACCTATGCATCTGGAGAGGGACCAAGCAGAAGCCCTGCTGCTGGCACTGAAAAAATTCAAACCCCCAGCAGGACCAGAACACATGGATCCACACAGCAGAGGGATGAATCCACCCCCATGTCCTATAACAGCTCAACATCAGCACAAATCAGAAGAAAAATGCATACAGAAAAGGTTGCTTTGCTTTTTCATCCCTCAGTACCCATGCCTTTTACACTCCACTGTCCCGCCCCAGTCCTGGAAACAGCCATCAACTGTCAATGCCCTCCATCACTTGACAACTACAGCCAGTTACAGGGACCTGCATCCCTGGAGGGCTGCATATCCTGAGGAGGATGAAAGAGGCAGAGAAGGGGCATCATGAGCTGCGGCCACAGATCTGCTCGATGTGGTAGATCTCCTTGGGACAGTCAGCAGACAAGACAAGAGGTGCCTCCTCTGTTATCACAACATCGTCCTCAATGCGCACACCAATGCCACGAAACCTCTCTGGAGCACTCATGTCATCCTCAGGGATATAAATGCCTGAAAGAAGAAAGGGAATTAAAGCACACAACACTCTCCAGAACAAGACCTTTCCCTTACTGCATCACCATGAGAACAGGGTTGGATTTTCAGCAACATAACATTTGATCCCAAGAATTTTTAATATGGCAAGTTACTGTCTTTCTCCTCACTCATGGCTGTTGTTGGTGGGCAAAGGAAGGAAAGTGTCCCTCTGTGCCCTTGGACATTAGCACATTAATAAAAACTTCCACAATTACACCTGGCCTTTCTGCACTTCTTGCTCTCAATGTTACATTCACAATGATGATTTTAACAATGGTCTGAATAGAGAGAGAGAAGAGCTAAGCACTAAATATCAGTTTCAAGCTGACAGCTCCAAATACAGTGACAAGTAAAAAGAAAGATTCATTGCAGTATGCCCAATTTGCAAAGCTAAGTTGTGAATGCCTGTAATTGCAGACTGTAATGCTTGAGACAAAGCACCAGCAATGGTAGAGGTTCAGTCTCAGGAACACAGAACACAGTACAAGCAAACCAACCCTGCTTTTCTGCATCTGTGCTCCACAATACTTTGCTGCCTGAGTCTACTTCCACCTTGGCCGTGTTTGGGAAGGAAATGGGGTGTTCTAATACTGTAATGACTTTGGGAAGGGAATAACTTAAGGCTTTCCAATACTGTAATAATTTTCAGTTTCACCAGAAAGAACCTGAAAGCTTTGGTCTGAGGTACCAACTAAACACTGAAAGCAATACTGTTATCCTCGGTGTTGCATGTTTTTGTCCACCACTGACTGCATGTCTTGTTACCTGGTTCAATGGTTATCACCATGCCTGGCTGGAACGGGAGTGACCGGGATATATCTGGGGTATCGTGAACATCCATGCCCAAGTAATGGCCCACATGATGTGGGCAGTACTTTCGGACAGCCTAGCAGAAGACAGAACAGGTGTCACAGAGGCAGTTAAACACAGCCCAACTCGTTCCAACAAAAAAGATAGGAAGAAGAGACAGAATACTCGTGTGCTTAACTAGCAGTCTTACTGCCATGACCAGATCACCAGGGACTGCCTTACATCTACCAGAACTGGATGGCCCCCAAAACCCACCAGTACCAGTTGCCCATTATGAGCACATTGCAGACTGCCCTTCCCCCTCGCTGAAAAGAACAGCCCAAGCCCATCTCCATCTCAGCATGTCAGGAAAGACGTCAATTTTCAGTGCGCTGAGCTTTGCTGCCCCAACCCTTTCTATTCCTTAAACGTCCAAGCCCTGCATGATTCCATCAGCCGACCCTGACAACGGCAGCAGCGGATACAGCTGCTCCGTGCTGTGGCAAAGTGAGGTCCTACACATGGCAGAGCAAACGCTGTGCCGATTTCACTCAGTAGCTACAGCACGATTTTAATCCACCTCTACAGGGCACAGATACCGCCTCCCCCCGCACTATCCTAATCACCCACCCTACTGAGGGGGACTCAAAGAGCTAATTCCTCCCTCCTCATTCCTCCCTCCCCACACTCCCCATTCCCAGAGGACTGAGCTGCAGGCGCCGCTCCCGTCTGGTTGTGCTGCCACCTGCCGAGGGAATACGGCACGGCAGCCTCCGCCGCTGCCATGGCACCGGCACCGTAGGACAATTAAATCCGGCAGGAACCTGTCCGGCTGCCAAAAGCGGTCACCTGGTTCTGCCGTCTTTCCTGTACTGGCATCAGCAATCATGCAGGTTTGCAGTGGGTGTGACAGATAAACTTATGTAACTGCAAACCAATCTTATTTATCCCTACGTTCAGCTCTAAGGCAGGCGAGTTTCCCAGTCTTGTTTACCAGGTGAATCCCAACACTGACACAAAATGGTGCAGAAGAGGCAGCAGGTGGAATGACTGAGAAGAATGGGCTGCACCTTTTGGTGGTACTGCAGATTTATGCAATGTTAAACAGATCAGAAAACTACAAATAACTGCCTGCAGCCAGTCCTGGACCCAGAATTTTGTGTTAGCGCCTATGTCCCTACAGTTCCCTTCAGACTGTGGGCTAAAGCTGAATCTGCAAAATGGCAAATAATGCAGAGCAATGGGAATGGATCTGCAGAATGAGAGCAAGAGCCGAGAACAAATATTCACACTATGTGCATAAGACTGGGGGGTTACTTCAGACTAATTTGTTGAAACACATCTCCAAGTTTAGCCCTGTCTTGAAAGAAATCCAGACCTGTGCTGAGACCAGCCCACAACATGAATTATAGCACAGTGTGTGGCAAAAATTAGAAGACATCTCAAAAACACTTTCCTGACCCAAACTAAAGCAACTAACACTACCCAAGGAGAAAATAATCAGGCTTAGTAAGGGTAAACTGGAGTAAAAATCTTCAAGTACCTTGAAGAAATGGCTGTCAGTGATGCTGCTCTCTAGGACACCCAACTCTTTCAGTTTCTGTCCAATAAGGCTCAGCATGAGGCTGTAAATATTTTCCAGACTCATGCCTGGAGAGCAGAGGCTCAAGCAGGACTTCTGGATATCCAGGACAGCCTGGTATAGTTCTGCTTGGGGTTTGGTGAACCTGAAGACCATTGAGAAGGAACAAAGGACATATCTCACAATTAAACTGCTACTCAGAACACATCTTTGGGACAGATTCAGTGCAAAGTTGGAGCAGGAAAAGTCAGAAAGCAAAGCAACTGTCTCCTTATATGAAAGGCCAGACAAAGCATCCCTGCAACACGCCCTTCAATACACCGTGTAGAGGCAGGGTTTCTCAGCTGAGAACCTAACCCCCAAGAAAAGCAAGGCCAAGCTACTGCAGGAAAAAGAAAATACAGGACACAAACACACAAACACAGAGATATCGCACCAGCAATTTCATGACTGACAGAGCTATGTACATGTCAACTAAGACTCCTTTTTTCTCACATATAACTGGAGTCAGCCACAGCTAAATGTACAAAAAAGCCCTCTCTGCACTTTAAGCATGCTGTAATAGCTGAAAATAGCAATGATCACCCATATTCATGTAGTAATTAATGAGGCAGTGGGGAATACATGCTGAAAGATTAGTTTATATAATTTGATTACTTTGAAGAACCACAGAATGGGACACGTTAAAACTACTCACACAGAGATTAAACACACATACACTCCATCCATCACTTATTTAAGAGCTTCTCAGTGTTCTTCAAAAAACCTTATTGTGGCATACCTTCCATTGACAGGCCAGGTCCGTGTGATGTCACTCACATAGCAGGACAATTCACATCCACCATCTAGCAAGACCAGTTCACCATCCTGCAGAATAACAAGAAAAAATGCTGTGTGGGTCAGCCCAGCTATTAATTGAACTGATTTTTTTCTGTCTGAGAGCAGGAAAGGAGGTTATGCACTTATTTTCACAAAGCAGTAGCAGAGGTGTGAATTCTTGTTGCAGAATAACACCCCAGGTGCTACTGGTTTTAAACAGGCTATTCCAGTTGGATTGTTTCTCTGAGAGGTAGTCTCTGACTGTTATGCTTATCTACTGTCTGAACCCTTACCATGCTGATTTTCAAACATTTTGGAGCAAAAAGACATTTACCGTGAACTATTCTGCTCTCTCAGTCCCATTGACACCTGAGTTGCTTACTCCTGCAAATTACACCAGTGACTCCTTCCACTAGAAGTCCTCTGCTAGTGACTGAGCCAGAAGGGTTTTGCAAAAAAACCATTTATTTCTGAGCTATCCATAAGAACACTAACCGCTACAGATTTAGCCTTGCCATAGGATAGGAGGACCCAGCAAAATAATTTCTCTGACAGTGTATCACTGCTGTAAATGCACTATTGAATAGCTTGAATCATCTTCCCCATCCTTTTCTAAGATATCTTTCTGAATCTGTCTGGTGATGAAGAAAAAGCTTTTGGAGATGTGAACCTCTGATTCACTTCAGCAAAACTGTTACATGTCAATTAAATCACTGACTATGCATCTCCCAAAAAGTCACACAGAAGGAAGAGAAAGAGCCGAGAACAAACCCACTGCTTTGCTCTCCCTCCTTAAAGAAGCTAACAACAAATAGAGCAGTGGAATCTGTAAAAAGTTTGGATTGAATTCTCTATAGATTTACACTACATGTAACCTAGGGACTTTATTACAGAGATTCACTCCACAGATCCATGACTGTGCCAGCAGCCATGATGTGGAATGACAAGGAATAATTCTAGCAGATTCAGGGAAGGAATAACAAGCAGAATTTCACTGTTAGTGCTACTTCCAGTGGTATCTGTTATCATTGTGTACAGTCAAGTGCCACAAACAGATACACAGGAGATAAATTACCAGTGAGCAGATGTCACTATCCCACTGAATAGACAGGCCATTAACTATCCATTTAAATTGTACTTTTTAACTTTTTCAGAATAGCTGGTTCAATCCATTGCAGAAAATCTGAAATTATAGCACCTGCCATCTTCCAAGCAATTAAACAAGCTAAGTAGCAATTTACTGGCTAAGGGAATTCTGCTTGTGGTTTGATTGTTCAGTAAGTGCCTTATGTTGTGCTTCTCGTCCTCTTTCTTTAAAGCTGAGCCCACTAAATGGTGAACTGAATGATGCATTCAGATTCCTACCAAATTAGACACTTTGTTAGCCTATTTGGAAACAAGAGCTGTAGGAAGCAGCACACAAAGGCAAGGAAAGAGTCAAGTTTACGGGTTTAACCTCCTACTTAATAGTTTGGAAAAAAAACAAGTGACAGTCACTTAACCGAACAACTTTAACAGAAGCAACTGGAATTACATCAGCACGCCTGACCTTGGATGACAGAACAACAAAGGAGGCTTCTTTCTGCCAAAAGCAGCCTGTCATATCTTTTGTACATTTGTCTCTGCAGATCATTTCAAGGTCTGCTAGATGCCAGCTTCAAGAAAAGACAATGCTAGTGGGAAAGTTTCATCCTGCATTAAGACAGAGGAAAAATATGCTCCTCTGAAAAGTGAATAGTGAGCAGAGCAGTGGGGGAATTTTCAGGAGTATATTCCTCCTGAAAATACTTATCTGAATCTAAAGGTCTATTGTCAGGAAAGCCGGAGAGGGTTCAATTCAATAAGGAGAATCTTCAAAATAAGACAAAACACATTAATTTACCTAAAGCCGTATAATCCACCCCTTGACATTTAATGCTGATCCTTTTCCTCCTTGTTCCCGTTCCCTGCTTTGCTGGCCTACATGCAGACCAAAATGCTTTTCAGCTTCACCAGAGCAGGAATGCACTATTGCCCCTCATATTGCAAAGCAAGACTAAGCAATGCAAGTGACAGCAGAAGATCTCCCAAGGTGCCTTCACTCTGCAGTGGCTCCTCTCTTTTGTGAGGCCAGTGACCCACCCAGCACCACACCCTGCTGTGCACGGTATGAGAGCAAACCTATTCGCTAAATTATTTGCAGCCCTGTTTGCAAGGCCTTCCACTGCTCAGAAAATACTGCAGCAAGTGCAGAGAGGAGAGGAAGAGAAGTTAATCTGCCACTGACAGAAAAACTAACCAGGGCACGACTCCTTTCCCTTGCTCAGTTTATATTTAAGTGCTTTGATACGTTTAGTCAAAACAAAGAGCAGCTAGGGGACATACATGTGTGTCACAGTTCTGCATTTCAAGTTACTGGACAGTAGATGGGTTACCTTGATGAGCTGATTGTTCTTCACATAGTGCAAAGTGTTTGATCTGTTGCCACCTGCAACAACAGGGGGGTATGCCAAGATGTCAGCACCACGAGCCCGGCACTCGAACTCAAACTGGAACAATAATTCAGAGAGGAGAACGTTAGTGCTGTTTCAGGTGATTAACTGCCCTAGGGCTAGGTAATCCATGTCCTACAACTGTTTTCTTAATTTGTACAACACAAAGTGAAACTGGAAAGTGAGTTTACTAAATGAAAGCAGCCTTGAATATTATCCAAGAACTCTGGAGAAAAAATACAGAACAATCCACTTTTCAAGAGTGTTTTAAGCCTGCATCTAGTGTCATGGAAGCTTTTTCTGGTACAAGCTATTCAATACCATATGAAATTCATTACACTGTCATGCATCCAGATAAGGATTTGTTTTTACATGAAATAATGCTTATTTGCCATATAACATTCTGAATTTTCAAAGATCCTAAATGTCAGCATGACAATAGTCATGTTTTATTGCTGTCTTTTACAATTACGAAGTACCAGCATATTTACAGCAGTATCTATTACCATGACTGTTGAACTAAGAAGGTTTGAAAACATGCACTATCTTGATGTCTGAGAGATGTAAGAAAAAGGCATTACAGGCCTCAAGATCTTTACCCTTCTTGAATGATGAAGCTGATGGAAGCATGGAAATGAATTGAACTTACATCTATAAAGACCCTCAATATATTAATAGCACCTCTTTTCTATAACTACCAAGATCACATGGGACAGAACACTCCAAGATGCATACATGGAGCAATGTATGTTTTACAATTCTGATCTAGAGTGAAAAATTGATCTGTAAAATACACTTTAATTAGTTTTCTTTACAATTCAGTACTGCTGCTCAGTGCCACGTCAGCACAGGCCCATCTATGTCATAATAAACAGAGGGTCAAATCCTGCTGATGTTTCTCAAACAGGCATCTCACTGCAATTCCTCATGAAGTTCCTTACCAAATGTGCAGGCCAATTAGTCCTTATTTTGTAACTGAGAGGTGTCTAAATTGCTTCAAGATAGCTGTGGTAATCTGATGTAGTAAGAGGCTAGAGGCAAGAGAAGCAGGCTTTATAAACAGGTGTTATAACTACTTTAATTCTGCGCAACAGAACTGTATTATACGATAAGATAACTATATCTCCGACTGTTTAGCAGGTTTGGTATTCAAAAAGACATCAGTAGCAGACAAATTTAGACAACCACTACGCTCCTTCAATAAGGGTGTTGGAAGTACTGCTGAAGAATTCCTCACACCGACTCTTCTGCATGTCCAAGATTTGGGTGAAGAAGAAATGTGCTACGGTGGGAGACACATTATAAAGAGATCGGACAGTTCTCGTTTGCTGGAAGGATAACCAACATCCAGCCCTTCTATCTCACCTTCAGCTATAAAGTACTCACCTTTGCATATAGAAAGGCTTCATCCACTGGGGATTTGCTGGCAAACATTGTCTCTGTGAAAGCCTATGAAAAAGAAGGGTCTTTCAGTTAGCAAAAGAGCCTGAATTTGAGAGAAGCTCTTTTTTTTTTTAACCTGTTGTCTTTTGAGGAAGGCTCAAGATCAGCTGGCCCAGAACACCAGAGGCAGCTGAAAGTGCAAAGTGCTGTCAAGACTAGAACCAATTAAGATCTGTTCCCCATGAAACTCTATTTAGGAGCTGATTGACTCCAGTTTTTGATAAAAAGGATTAGATGGTTGAGGCTGATCCCATAGGTTAGCATTTTAGGAGTTGTCTCGCCTATGGATTCCTTCACATATGAGTGCCTTACGCAGCTTTTCCTTCAGAGAAGGACAAGCTGTACCTCTCTTTTCTATTTGGCTATCTATTTTGATAATATTTACAAAAACATAATTGCATTTGAGTTATCTGTCACATTTGTTTAAAATGGCAAATGATTTCAAAAGGTATTTGAAGGAGAAGGGGGAATACAGAGACATACATAGGCAAAGCCTTCACAAAAATTCTGTTTCCTCAAAATAAACAGAATAGACAGGAAAGAAAATGGTGAGGGGAAGCAGAGCAGAAGCTGTTAAGAGAGTGAAAAGGCTACCCCTGAACAGATAATGCTTTTAAACAAAGTCTAACAGCTGCTGGCTTGTCTTTGCTTGAGTTACGCTGATTGAGAGAAGCTGGTTGTCCAAGCAGCCTTCCCATTTCTCCTTGTCACGTGAAGGGAGTCGAGCCCAGCCCATGGCTGAGACACAGCAGTTCAGTAACAGATTAGACCAAAGGTATCCTTCCAACCAATGTCACCCCATCAACAGAATGCACTGGTTCATCTGGAGAGCACACGACCCCATTACCTCTGCTGTCACCCGTCCAGCTATCTTCATCCTTTCAATCTCTGCCGGGGATTTGATCAGTCGAAGGTTTTGCACTAAATGTCGGATGCCTTGGATGCGGTTTTTGCTCCGAGCTTTCATCTCAGCCAGTGGCTGCATGTAGTCAGAGTGCAGCTCTGTATGCACTGGTTTTGTCAAGTCATACCAAACAACGTTTGACTCACCTGGAATACAAAACAAAAGCTGACACAGACAAAAATAAATGTAGAAATGTCCTCCCCACACTGAACACACTCATTCCTCCTAAATTAGACCTGCTGCTATATTTGAGACAAATAATTTCCTCTGAATTTGCGTTGACAGACCATATAGACACTTTCACTGTCACAGGATTCTAGCAGTCTCTTCTAAGTTTGGAAGATTACCAATTCATAGCAAGTAGATTTCACAAATCACCACTTCTGGGCAAATAATGGGGTTTAAGACCAACACTGAATATACACATCTTGTCAAAGTTGTACTTGTGTAATCTAAGTAGGCATTGCACTGCAGTGATGCCCATTCTGAATTGTTCTGTCATTTAGCCTGTCCCCACCGATGTAAGGCAATTTACCTTTTTACCCATGGAATCAGGGTCATGATCAACTATACTTCAGAACACTTTGGGGAACAACTGCTTATTTCAACCATTCTGAGATAAACTAACTCAGGACTAACACATTTAACTATGTGGACATTTATTTAGAACATGAAAGTTAGCACCCACATTCTCCCCACAGGAACATTTTAAACAGAAATTAGTAGAAAAGCCATTCTGAGTCACAGTTGATGCCCACCTAGGCCCCCTTCTTTGGGGACGGTAACCATTAGCAAGTGCTTACAGGAAGTGTCTAAGAAGCTGGGCATTTATGAAAGAGTATTTCCCTAAGCACATGCTCCCCAGAATCCCCCTTCTGGTTTCTTCATTTCAAGGCTGCATCTTCATAACAGTGATTTACTGCTTTTCATGGATCTTTCCCCCGTAGAATTAAAAATTTTTCACATTCCAAACCTTCCATGAGTGATCTACAACTTAGAAGGCACCAAAACCTGCCATGTGATCATTTCATTCAGTGTTGTCTTTTTTTTAAATTATGAAAACCATCAAGTAATTGTTCCTACTCACCCACTCTGTGCTTTCCACAACCATACACATCTCATACCTTGGCTTCTGTTTTCTCTTTTTCAAGCTAAGTGGGTTCATCCAGCATGTATCTCACACACTCCATACTGTTGATCATCCCTGTGGCCCTTTCTGTGACTTATGTATTTTCAATATATCCTTTTTTGAAACAAAGTAACTAGGTCCCATAAAGCTCCAAAATTCACTCTTTCTAGTTGTTTGACCCCCCCAAGCACTTACCTTTATTATATTATCATAAGCGTTCTTCAGCTTCGTTTTATAATGCACTTAAGTTCCCCCTGGATTATAAGTACTGAGGCTACACAGTGATGTTAAATGCAAAGGAATATTTCTAGAGGACAGCAGTGTTCATATTTCAAGAGTAAGTCATCATCTAGCTAAAAAAATGTGAGTGGACTAACAAATTCCCTGTACAGATAATTTTCCAAGTCTACTGTGAATAACATACCTTCAAGTTTCCTATACTTCATCTGGTTTTGGCTCTGTCAGCAAACAGATAGGACTAGAACACTAGTATGTTCTTGCTTATCCTGTTCCTTAACATTTCACAGATGTGTATCCATGTGCATGACAGTCTGCACAAGAAATTCAGAGGGGAGAAAAAACTATTATTTTCAGAATGCTCTTAGGCACATGGTGTGATTCTTGGGGGTGGTCCTGTGCAGGGCTAAGAGTTGGCCTTGATGATCCTCGTGGGTCCCTTCTAACTCAACATACTCTGTGATTTTGCGAAAACCATATTTTCACTGGTGGCCATCAACAAAATAACAAGAACTTCCAACTGCCTTTGTCATAGTAATACCACTGCACCTCCTCAAGTTCATTATAGTCTTGAACTGATGTCACCTCCCAAACCCATACCATTCAGACTCCGAAAACCACATCTCATCCCATTTCCCCTTTATTTTTTGTTACCTTTCAGCTTGGCCACCAAGTGCCTGAACTCATCGATGGTATAAGCTTCATCTACTCCTGTGAGAGCAATGGCCCCATCTGGGCCTGATCTGGGCCCGTCCCATAACTCTCGCTTTGGATCTCTCCGGGGCACAAAAAGTATGGATTTGTGGGATGGCAGCGCTTTGCCAGGAACGCTCTGCAGCACCAGGATGCTGTCAGGCTCCTGAAACCCACAGAGGTACAGGAAGTTAGTGTCCTGGTGGAAAATGTAGGGAATGTCATTGCTCATGTAATACGTGGGGTTAGATAGCAGAATCACTGTGTGGTCCAATCCATCCCAGCCATGGGCTTCCTTCTGGATCAACACCATCAGTTTGTGCCGGCGAAGAGCATATTCCACCTGTGACAATCCTGGGGTTACCTCTCCTGTGAATACAAAACAAATCAGATGGAGAAATTCAAGGCACTTAGGACATTCTATTAGTTGTAACCTGATTCCTGCCTACTCCCTGATGCCTTACATGTGCATGGCTTCCCTGCATGTAATCCCTCACAAGCCTTTCCATTGCTTTCTTGTGCACCTCTTCAGCTTCTATCCCTCTAGCACATTCTCACTCAAACTGCTTCTCCATCACGTGGAGACAGAAATTTATTTCAGCCAATTGGATTTTGTATTACGTATTTCTGTGCAAAGGCAGAAATCACAAACCTGGTAGATTTAGATAAAAATCCAAAACAGATGGATGTTGGCACAGAAACATGCGAAAAAAAAGAAAAAAAAAGGAAGGGGTGAGGCAAACTGAACTTTAACCGCTAAAAACTGATGGGTTTTACAGCATCTGGACATTGAACAGAAGTTTGTCTCCTGAGGTTGAGCATTAATTCCCTCAGATAAAGCTAGAATGTCTGTTCAAATACACGCTAAGTCAACTCATAAAATGACTAGTTCTAAACCATAAGGGGCAGATCGAGTGTTACAGATTCTGGGAGATCATGCAGAAACACAGAGGTTGCAGAGTCTAACCAGTCACAAGACTCCAGGCAGAACCAAATCACGGACTGCAGGCTGGCAGACTCTGATTAAGAGAAGGGATCTTCTTCAGGGCAGATGTAGCTTTTCTCAATATTTAACAATTCAGATTTTTCCAAAGTTAAATTCTATATTTCTAATGACACGAAACAAACGATCTCTAAGATGAAAGAACTCTTTAAACTGTTCCAGTCACAAAAGATATGAAGTACAGCAATGAAGATACTCATCAAAACCAGACTGAAGTTGAAAGGACAACCAACAACAGCTGAAGTATGTATTTTTAAAAATGTGAGACTCCCTAACTATGATCTAAATTAATACAAGAGCCTTAATCAGTACGTTGGCTAATATCTTATATTAACACAGACTACATTTTGATACTTTTCACTTTCTACTTCAGTAATCTTTTCTTCCTCTTTAATGTATAACGCAGTATTAATTCTAGAATAAAAATTTACATTTGACTTGTACTGTAAGTGGATTCTTGCATTAAGTGCAGTGGGAGGGGAAACTTCTATCCAAAATGTTTTTCCTTGACAAAAGAGTTTAAGAAAACTACGTATGCTGTATTTGTGTTAAATTTTAGACCTTTTCAAAAACTTACATTCCCAACACCTATTAGGTGTAAAAGTCTTTAAAAAACCCCAACCCCCCAAAACAACAAAGAAATAAAACCACCATATTTGTTTTACTCTATAGATCTGGAAATTACAGAGAACATAGAAACTGCTGTAGTGCAATCTGACCTCACAATTCTGCAATATTATACTGCAAATTCCCCATGTTCCACTGCATTCCAGTCGGCTTTCTAACTGCCACAGTCCAGCGAATTTTAGAAGCTGCAATACGGTGGAACATGGGAATCCCAGCTGTCTTCCAACTGTGAGGCCCGAAAATTCTCTTTGCCTTAAAAGCATTTGCTTTTTAAAACAATAATTGCAATAAAACAATGTCATATTATTTTAAGGAAAACACCTCTCCTTTATTAAAAGGAAAAATACAATGAGCAGCTAGAATTCACTTCCACTGTTTCAGCTTTGAGTACTTTTAAAGGATTGGCCTCACTTACAGTGAGCTGTCAATCAATGCCCTAAGCAACCTGATCCAATGCTGAAGTAAGCCTAGCTCTGAGCACAGGGTGAACCTGTTAACCTGTGAGGTTCCTTCTGACCTGAATTATTCTACAATTAAGTATAGAAGTATATGGTTATATATTCATCTGTTCTCCCTGTATACCCACCTGTGGAAGAAGAACACAGAAAAGAATGTTTTCCTGGACATATTCTTGAACATATTTAAATATTTTTAGGGAGTTTTTTAGATTTAGTTGTGGTCATCTCATACCTATGTGCTACCTATTTTCATTATATCTCAAAAAAATGTAAAACCTCAGTTTCTTTTTCACTGTTGCTGTCAAACTTCATAGTCACAAGTCTCTTTTTCCCCTTTTCCTCACACTGAATCCCCTCTGAAGAGAGCACATTCTTTAGACAAGTGGTGTCCATCTATCAATGTCCCTCCCCAGTCACCTTTTCTGAATGGCACCTTTATATGAAACATTATGGCAGTTCAGCTTGCACAAAAGACTCACTCTTAATAAAAATCGTATGTATTTTCAGGACAATGAGCTCCCAAAATGCCGCTGCCACGAAAGGTCTGCAGCACCCAAGTAAGGACCCTGAGCACGCCACGAGAAAAAGGTAAAAAAGCAAACCCGTGAAGCCTAATTTTGGAATCAGTATCATCTCAGACAAGGAAATTAGCTCCTAAATATAATTACTGCCTAATGAAGGTAATCATAAACAGCTGAAATTCCAGACAACTGTATGATGCAGCAAATCGATGTGCTCAAAAAAGCAGAGACAAGAATGAATACCAATAACCCGCTCACACAGTGCCCAAACCTTACCTGGTTTGAGCAGATGTGGGTGTGTGAAAGGGCTGGGCTGGCCCAAATACCGGTTTGGAATCTTCTTTTGCTGGGCAGGCTGGATGGAAAATCTTCGAAGAGCACATGACTTGCAAACTGGAGGAAAAGAAATGCATCACGTCAAGGTGAGAAAACCCCTTCCAGTTAGAAAATTGCTGAATTCTACTACAGTCTTCAGACTTTTAGTAGCATTCAATCACTTACATGGCAGAAATATCCCTGCTTAGCTTCTCGATCTGTTGTGTACCACCATAGTTTACGAAACAATGTGCACACAACTCAACTAGTGATCAAATACTCATAAAACAGATTGAAAGAAACGAACAGATGCTAAACCCGACAATCCAGCAAGAAAACTCAGGAAGCTCTGTTGGTTTGCACGTCCCAATTCATACACTTGGTGTTCAGGAGGTACTTGATGCTCTCCCTCCCTTGCTTCCCTCAAACACCACAGGGCTCCAAGCACACCTGTATATTGTTTCTTCTTGACTATATCTTCAAGAAATATCCCTCACCTTGAACAACTATACAGTTTCCAAGGCCTTTCCAGTTCTGTTTTTTACTAATAAAACAGCAAAGAAACCATCAAATAACAGGTTTATACAGTAATGTGATTTTTTTTTCCTGTATGAAAGATACTCCAGAGTCCCTCTTTATGTATTCAACTTACTGGACAGTAGCATTAGCCAAACTGAATAGTTATGTGTCCCACCTCCAAATCCACACACAGCCAAAGCACTCAAGTTTTAAAGCGAATTACAAGCATAAGCATACATCTGGGAGCTGGGAGTGGGCATGGTAAGAAAAAAGCTAAAATGAAACATGAATTGTCAGAAACTTTACCAACTTTAGAATTCTCAGCCACAGCCTTTTGCAGCTGAAAAACTGCTTGTGCCTAGATACAAATCATCAGGACACGTGGAAGGAGAAGATAATCAGAGGGTAAACGTCTACTTGGTGTCTTGAAAACTGGTTGTCACTTACCATGCGCCTACTACAAAATCGATTTGTGTTGCCATAGCGCAGCACTGGATTCTTAGAACACATAGTAATTAAGTCTTCACTAGCATAAGCAAGGATAAGACAAACAAACCAGATGCCCTTTAGGGAGCCGAGACTCAGGGGATTACAGCAAAACATACAGACCGTGGATTTACAGGGGGAGCCAGCATGACTGGCCTCTAATTGAAGATCACTTATGCACGACAACCAGTTGTCAAAACACGAAGCGCTCACTATGTGATGCCTGACTGGAGACCCAGGCGGTGAAATGCAACTGCAGCTTTTTGGGCAGCTTAGTTTAAAACAAGTGTCTCCACTGTTTCTCTCCACGTACACAGCAGTCAAACAGGGCAGCTCGCAACGAGACGAGAGGACACGGCGGGCATTAAACAGAGCAACGTTTTGAAGGCAGCACCGACAGCGGACCGAGGGGCGAAAGCGGGGCTTTGAGCAGTGATAACTAGGTGTCGCCAGCGGAGCCCCGGGAGCGGGTGCGGGCGCAGGCCCCGGGGCAGGGCCTGGGGGCGCGGGTGCGGCGGTGCGGGGGAGGAGGGGTGTCTGACCTGCGGCGCCGCGCCAGCCCCTCAGCGCCGCGGCGAGCGCCGGGCCCCGCAGGCGCGACATGGCGGGGCACGGGGCACAGGGCGCATGGCGGGGCCTCCCCGCGCCGCGCGCTGACACCATCGCTGCGCGCCGCCCGCCCGCCGCCAATGAGCGGCGCCGCGCCGGCTTTAGGCGCCCGCGGAGGCCGCCTGCGCCGACCACGAGGGGGAACGCGGGCCACGGCGCGGCAGCGAGGGCGGGGGACAGCGAGCGGGCGGCAACACTAAGCGGAGAACAGAGCTGGACGCGGCCACCGCCGCCACCTCCAGAAAATTCCCGCCGCCGCGCCGCGGAGGGCGGGCGGGGCCCGGCGAGGGGGGCGTGGCGCGCTGGAAGCTTCCATGGCGCCAGGCGGGGCTGTGGGCGCGGCAATGTGGAGGGCAATGCCTGGAGAGGGCGTGGCATTCCCCGCAGTGGGCGGGGCCGGCGCGTGGATGGGCGGGGGCAGGCCCCCTGATGGGCGGGCCCTCGAGGGGCGGGGCGGGCTGGAAGGTTCCGCGGCGGGGTGGGGGCGGGGCAGCGCAGCGAGCGCGCTTGGGCCGCTGCCGCTGGTGCTGCTGCTGCCGCCGCTCCGCCATGGACGCGCGCAAGCTGAGCGAGCTGCGGGCCTTCGTCCGGCTGTGCAAGCAGAACCCGGGGCTGCTGCACACCCCGGAGCTCGCCTTCCTCCGCGAGTGGGTGGAGAGGTCGGTGCCGGGCCGTGGCGGGAGGCGGCCGTGAGGGGAGGAGGAGCGGGGGGAAGGGTGTTGTGGCGCGGGACGCGGTGTGAGGGGAGGGGGGCGTGTCCCCTCGGCGCGTGCAGGCGCGGCCCCGCCGTGTGGCCGGGTTGGGGGGCGCGCGGTGTCGCCCCCGCGGGTCCAGCCCGGCCCTGCGGCCTCCTCGGCCCGGCCCAGCCCGCCGGGGGTACCACTGGCGCCTTAAAAAGACTTATTATTTTATTTTGTTAGTTTTGTTTCGTTAACGCCGGCTATTCCTGTTGCAAAAAGCCTGCCCCCCGGCCATCGCAGTGGCTCAGCTTTCTAGGCTGGAAAGCCCCAGAGTAATACTTACAGAGCTAATTCTCGCATTACGCAGCAGAGTTGGCTAGCCTGTCTTAAAAAGAAGCCGAGTTTGTGGGGAGGTGAGTGGCGTTAATTTACACCCCGGTACCCAAAAGCATAAAATACCCGACAGCTGCGGTTCCTGTCCAAAGCGTGTTTTGCTCCTTGAAGTTCCACGTATAAAGTAGTCGAAGTCTGTGCTCCCCGTGAGCCTCTTCAGACATCTGCTGTTTATGCTGCGCGGGGCCTGTCGTACAGATGCTTCTCAATTAAAAATCATGTTTGGGTTCCACCCTGAGTGCCCAGAAACACCAGGTTGGGAGGGCTGAGGTCCTTTGCTGCTGGTATAGAACCCACAGGGCCCCTGTGTTTAGCTACAGTACCTCTGCTTGGCTTTTATGGCTGCTACTCCAAAGAACTTTGAGAAGTGAAGGAAGTTCTTGCAGGTGCACACTTTATGCAACAGGAGGTTAAAAGGTTTTTATCTAGTGACAAAGTGGGATTTGTTTTAGAAAATTCGTTTTAGTTTGAAGGTATTTTAACTGTACTTCCTGCTGTATAGTATTTGTAATTAGTTGAAAAACCAGCAGGGCTTTCTGTGCATGCATATATATATATATATATATATATATATATAAGTTAATACTGGCATTTTACAATATGTCCTGTAATGAAAATGTCTACAATGAACTATTTATTAGTGGTTTTTTACAGCGATGCTTAAACTTTTTTATGCATCTGAATACTGGTGTGGTTGTAAAACCACTCCTATTTAACTTAACTTGGCTTTGCAGTACTGATAGTAGCTGCACCTACGTGTAGGAAGGAGATGGATGTCTGTCTTACCCTGCTGAAGGTCTTTAGTTCCTTTTGCTGCTGCGTAACAGACTTCAGTGCCTTACCCTAGGTTTCCTCCATTGCTTCTGTTGCCTAATTCTGAAGGTGCGGACAGAGTACTTTGAGAGAGAGGGAGAGGAAGAACACTGACTTCTTTTGGCCAAAGAAAGTGTTAGTTAGATGGTCACCTTTCCATTCCCTTTCTCCATATTAATGGGGAGGGCTCTGTTTTGGAGATTGATTTTTAGAGTTATGCTTGGTGCTTTTCTTATAAGTATAAAAATTAGGTTTTAGAGCTGTGGAATGTATTTTCATGTAAAATCTTCACTGGATGTCTTTATCTCAGAAGTAGAAAAATACTCCAGAGTAGAACCTTCTACAGCTCTCTGAAGTTTTCTGATTTTCCTCGCATATTTGAGCTAAATATTTGCCGAAGTTATACACTTGGTAGATGGCAGTGGTAGCCAGATCACTTTTCATGTAAAACTGTCTGGAAGTCTGGTGGGTTTCCCTCCGCTTTTCTGTAATAGTACTGCTTGCCGTAGGACTATTAAGTGCATTTATAGGCCCTTCTTTGGAAACTGCTTGAAACAGCATGGCCTGGCTTCAGGTGGAAATAAGCTCAGTAACTCTTATATCCCCCACTGAATTTTCAACTAAAATGCTGCTAATTGCTTTGATTTTTTTTTCCTTAAACTTAATGATTCTAACTTAGATTATGCTAGCTGCTCAGAAAGCCAGAAGGAGATGCTTTATTTCTGACTAGCTGTTAATATTGCATCAGAAACCTTAAGTCTTACCTGTTTTCATGCGCTTGTTGTCTTCTAACCTTTATTCTGTCTAGCTGTTGTATTTAATTTCTGTATGGATGCTCTTCGTAGAGAAAGCATACAGTAGTGTGTGACTGTGTTTGGAAAGTGTTTTGACATCCCTTTTAGTCATGCTCATTTTTTCATAATTACATAAAAATACAAATGTTTTACTTGAATTATTATGAAATGAGTCATTAAATGAAATGTGTTTAAAAACCCTGCAATTGAACAAAGAAACAATAGCAGTCCTTAGAAGTAAAGTGCAGAATCCCTAATTGATGAACAGGGCTTTTTGCCTTTTTTTTTTTGTTGTTGTTGTTTTGGTCAAATAGACTTTGACCCTTTCGATTTCATGGTAATCCGGTTTCTCTCTAAAGGTAATTTTGCTGTCAGTGATAAAAGTGGATGCAGAAATAACAGTTGCAGTTCTTCCAGCAAGTCATAAACACCACACTTCTTGTGGCTGTGATGAGTGGAAGAATGCAGTCATTGTTGCAATAGAGTCCTGACAACTCCCAGGAGTTGTTACTGGCATTGCACAACTCTGTTTTAGTTTATTATGTTTTATGGGGTTTTTTTTAATTAAACAAAGGATTAATTCAGAATCTATTTGTGTGTGTGTTCTTTTATACAGCTCAGTACCTGCCTTTTCCTCTGAGAGTATCTTGTGTATTCCTGTACTGTTGAGGTTAAATACATTGCAAACTTTGCAGTTATCCTTGCTGTGCGTTTAATCGTAATCAAATACTGAGTTGAGAGATTTTAGAGTAACTTGCTTTTGAATTGCTCTGGAATTGTAACTAGTTTAAATAGAGAATAACAGGATAGCAAAAGCATTTCCAAGGACTGAGTGAAACCGTTAAGCCTTGGAAGTTGTTAAAATAGCATATTATAAAATGTGCATGTCTATTAGTTAAACTGATCTCAAAACTGTTCCAAGCTTGGATATTTTGGGGGAGATGTGAAGAAGACAGAGGATACTTAAATTGTTTTGGTCTTGAGGTGATTCAAGATGCTGGACTTAAAACCAGCTGTTACCGTGGGTATTAGCTATTATCACTGCTAAAATGCTTTGTAATTTGTAGTTTTCTCTGTGCAGAAAAAAAGTTCCAAGGCTTCACTAGATGGTCCCTGTAGTCTTAAAGAGGTCTCTTTGGTTTTTACAGACTAGTAGAGTTATGTGTTCTATTGTCAGCCTACGAGGGTAAAAATTTAGGAGGAACAGTTACTACATGTTCTGTGTGTTCTGCCTAGCTCTGTAATGATTTCTTTAGTCCTTGCAGTATAACTTAGATTAAGTAATGTCAACATTCCAGGGACACATCTAGAGTTTTTGCAATAGCTTCACCACATGCTGGGGTTTGTCCCTTGTTTTTCCGTGTAAACAAGGAGTAGTTTAGTGCTGTTTGCTTGCCTTTTGCTGCAGGGCCCTGTGCCAGGACCTGTCAATCCTGTCGTCTCCTCTTCATTCTTCTGCCCTTTCTCCCCCAATTCATCCCTGTCCTGGTAATGTCTCGCCTCATCCAGGTTTGTTTTCAGCCAGTTTGGGGCCTGGCTGTGAGACAGTGCTGCTGACAGGAGGGAGGAAAGAGGGAAGAATGGACTGCAGTAGCCTCACTTAAGGAGCTATAACTTCTTATCCTTAGGGTATAGTTTTATGTTGCACTAATTCCTGAAAGTAGATAGTCCTGCATCCTTCCAGTTCCTCCTGTCACCCCTGTTTGCCCACGTCCTTCTCCTCTGCCCTGCATCCCATCAAACCAGTTGTGTGGGACCCCAAGGAGCTGGTTGTGCCCACTGAGGTAATGGAAACATTTTTATTGAAAACCATCAGTAGATGGGAACGCAGGGCAGAGGATGGATGGGAATGTTACTCCTTGTGGCATGCTGCCATTAGGTATGATTAGATGTTCTATGAAACAGCTGGAGAATTCAGCCTGTGCTTACTCCTGGCTGCTAACCAAGATCGATATCATGTAAAAGTTTATTCTGTATTGACAGAATGCTGTCTCTACAAAGAATGCTCCTTGATTGTAGCAGAGGGAAGGCATGAATATTGCAATACATAAGAGAAATGATTTTTTTTTTCCTAGGCAGCAATTTTTTTTAATTGCATAAGCATTTTGACTCATTTTCTTTACTTGTTTGACCTCTGTTCCAAAAATAATTCTAATTTTAGTAATATCTATAGTCATAATATTTGTTTTGATTCAAACATAAATTACA